TATTTTCAGTTGAGCACAATACAGACCGACTGTCTCTTTCACATTGAAGCCTCTATCAGCTAGAATGACATCTCCTGGTGACAATTTATCAAGAAAGCCACAATTTTCTGTGATGTGCTTGTCACTTGTGCGACCACCCCATCCTTTTGACACATAAGATATAACACCTTGTGGTGTTACTGAAATAAGGTATTTTGCAGTGTTGTGGTGCTTGTACTGTGAGTATGTGCAAGGCATCTCAGGTTACTTGGCTTTTCTATAAATCTTTCGAAACAATCAATGATGGAGGTGCAGTTCTTAAAGTTATTTCTGAAACACATTGGGAGACTCTTTTGAATTTGTTCTTTTGGTGGCCATAAGATTGGATCTGATAATCTGAAAAACATCTAATGTGCTACTGAACACTCTGACGACAGTTGACTTAGAAATAAAAAAAAAGTAAGAAAAAAAGTAAAGCGGCACATTAAGCCTCAGTCTCATTAATGTTAGGATCAAACATTGGAATGGGGTGATGTGATTGTCCAACTTTAAGAAATTCTGCTAGAAAATTAAATAAAACAATTAATTTGGCGGAGGATGAAAGACCTGTGAGTTCCAGCACCATGATGTCATTATCCCTGAATGCCTCCTCATTCAAGGACCGCTCCTCTGCCCTGGCCTTTAACTCACGAACCTCAGCTCGGAGCCGTGCACACTCACTTTCCAGTGCTGACATCGTAGCCTGGCAGGATGGATTCACACATGGCTCTACGATGCCAGGGCCAGTGTCTTTCGAATAGTGGTGGTCAGTGTGATGGTCAGTGGAAGTAGTGACCTCGTGCTCCTCCACGTCAGCCCCATTGGTGGTTGAAGGGTCAGCAAGACTGCTGCAGGTCTTGCGTATCTTGCGCTTCATCAGCTGAGTCTGCTGAAACTTTTTGCTGGCATAATGTTGCTTCTCCCTCTCCCTCGCCGAGGTGTGTGCAAAAAGACTGGGCACAAAATCGGGGCTCAAAGGATTGTCCTGTTTTGCTCCTAAAAGGTGTGTGAGACATTGTCCAACCTGAGTAAATCTCTCTCTCTTAGAACCTATGTAGGTTGTAATAAGGGGCAGATAAGGAAAAGGGTAGGTTTAAAACTACTGGGTTTAGCCCAATAATTAGTTCATTTTAAATGATGATGAAGTTACTACATGGGCTAAACAAAGGGACTTGCATAGGTAGACCGAAAATTACCTTTGATATCATCCTCCTGCTATCATAGGGAATAAGACATTGACATTAGCTCAGAGCAAGAATGCAATTCTACGTTAATGTGCTAATGTTAGCATCTGCTAGCCGCTAATACAACACAAACACATTACAGAGGGGCTGAATGGCGTGATGTTTACCAAACATGTGAAACTCATGAACTTGACTGATTGATATAGTCAATCAAGTTTTGTAAGTGTTCTCTTGGTTCTCAAAACGTGATGTTATAGCTCTTGTTGTTAGCCCTAGCTGCGACTAAGTTGAGGCGAAGGCTTACCTGACACAAAGTGTTCGTTGCACAGTAAGGTGTGAGACGTGGGTGTCCAATGATCTCATCGAATGACAGCTAACCACTTCTTTATTCTTTCCTTTTCTTTTGGTATAGAATAAAATACCAGTCCGGGGTTCCTCTTTCGGCTGTTGTTGCAGCCAACTGCACAACATATTGCAGGCATGACTGAGACCCCGTGACTTGTCAGCTGTTAGCTGTTGGCCCGAGTCGGTCGTAAAGATGGCGACGCAAAGCTACAGTGACGTCATGTGACTCGAACAAATTAATCCCCTTGCTTATTATTCTTCTTTCGTACGTTTTTCGGTCGACTACTCCTCCTGCAGTTTTGGTCGCACATACACAAAAAGGTACCAAAACGTGCGGCTCGGTGGGGACATTAGTGCTATGACTTTTCTAAGCATTTCACCAAACAGTTTGCCGATAAATCACCAAAAAACAGTCCAAAAAAATGAACGTGTGTATTGGTAGAATGGCCAACTGAAAATAACTGCCGATTTCTGGACCTGGTCGCCTAGCAACCAAAGCCTGAAGCTCATTAGCTTGACTGTGAGAAAAATTTGTCGAAAAATAAATTTGTAAACTTCTCTCAAGGCCACAAATGTCACTGTACAGAAATTATTTATAGATAGAAACGTAGGTTAATCCATTGGGGTCGCCGTGATAACACTGCTGAAGCTGTCTGACAAATAGTTTTGGCGGGAAACGCACTGATGCGCCAGCAACACCCTCTCATGGCCCCATCTACTTCCATGTTAATTGTAGAGGAGAAATCTTGGAAGGAGCTCGTTGAACCTCTTCTTCCTCAATCTCCCGACACTCAGACTGTAGTAACTGCAGTGGTGATTTGCACTACCTACACATCTGTTTATGGTAATACACATAATAATAATGCATATAACCACCATTCTACATTGGCTGGTCAGTCAAAAAACTTTAAAGCCATTTTTCTCAGTTTCACTGTTAGTGTAGTTACTGTGGTTATGCTTTTTTAGGGCAGAATACATTAATCAAACTAAGGTCCCATACAATATCTGGACAGCAAACTACACATTGAGTCTGGACCAATGTTCTGGACCCTAACATAATAATCGGGCTGAGGGTGGTGTTTCAAAATAAAAGCCTACAACATCACAATGTTCATTGTATGTTAACAGGTAGGGGGTCTGGTGGTTTCAAAAACCTACACTGCCTATGACTGCACAAGAATAGTTTTCTTTCTTAATTATGTGTTACTTATTAATATAAATATTGTTATTCGTGTTATTGATAGCATTACTTATTATTATTATTATTATTACTACATATTTATTATTCCCATTATTGTGGTTATTTCTTATTTAGTTACTTTAGCAATTTTAATTAAACCATGACGCTTCCTGCATAATCCCAGGACAATATTATGCCAAGCTCCATTTATGAAATACCATATATTAACAATTATTTGCGTTTACATAAAAGCACATAACTGTAGAAACACAAGAAAAAAACTCATCATATCTCAACAGTCTTCTTGTCAATTCGGCATCAATATAATACATAAATACAAACTCTTTGGCTGACTTTGTCGCATCAACTCGTTACCAGCCTCACTATTTCAGGGGGAGAAGACCGTGGGAATAGATGGAAAAAACAAGATTTGTCATTAGAATACGTGGTTGTTAGTGGATCACGCGTACGCCGAATTAAACACAGGTAAGAATGCTGATTAACCATGTATTATGTGTGTGTCATGGTGAAGGACAGAGGAGAAGATACGATAAACAGAAAATATAGGTAAATATAGACACACCCTCTCTGCTCTCTGCCTTTCGTACGTCATCACCATAACAACAAGTTGCTCTCGCGTTTCATGACCTGATTTGACATTTAATAACTTTGATTGGAGGACAGTTACAGGACGAAATCATATTGGCTCTTTTGTTTTGGCTCCATTTAAAAATGTTTAAATAAATAATATGACATGAAATTAATAGTACTGTCACTGAGTAGTGTCAATGTGTTGTGGTTCACATACACCAAGCATTAGGCTAGCAGTAAAGTATAGCTGGTTGCCAGGCAGAATTTTCACAATATTTCTAATATTGCAAATTGTCAATGCTACATTTTGAACAGTCTATTTGTTCTCATACGAACACACGCACACATGTGGAAAGCTTGATCTGTCACATACCTAAGCAATGGTAGAGGTCAGATACTGTAAACTACTCAGCAGTGTCGATAATGTATGGGCCAGAGTCACGGGCCAGTCAGGCACACTCAAAATTTCTTTAGGAATTTTCTAGTTTAGAAGATGCAGCTGCGGTGGGTTAACGTTAGTCACAGACACACATATATTTGCACTTTTTTATTATGTCATTGTAGCTCGAGCAATCAGGCACCTTGTTTCTCTTTAAGTTAAACTTGAATGTAATGTCAATTTTTTCTGGCATTGTCATTTGAAGCTATTTTATTTATTTATTTAATTTAAATGTATGTGTGCTTACTTCTTACATGTTTGGTAGGTAAAATAAATATGTTGTAAATTCAAATCAGTGTCTTCCGTGTCTGAAATTAAATATATTCTTGAGTCTATAAGGTACCAATAATATAATAATAAGATAACCTTGTTTGACTTGTGAAATGGGTGACTTAAAGAAAATCTTGGTTTTGTCTATACTACACTAGGTACTTGTACTATATTAACTGGGTTAAATAGAATTGCATTACTAAAAAGAGACTAAAATACAATTTTCATTGACTAAAACTAGACTAAAATGTCATCAGTTTTAGTCTAGACGAAAATAGTCTTGGATAATTCTGACTAAAATAAGACTAAAATCAGACTTTTAGTCGACTGAAACTTGAGTAGACTTAAAAGAGTATAAACGTGACTAAAACTAATAAAAACTAAAATGACAGTTTGACACAAAGACTAGACTAAAACTAAAATTAAAACAGGCCGCAAAAAACAACACTAAATCTGACAATTGGATTCTACTATCTAGACTTGGCTTAGAGATAAGATAATTCCCATGTCAAAAAACAACTCCAAAATGGTTTTCTGCTTACGTCAAAACGGAACCTAAGTCTGTTTTATGAATGAGGCCTCAGGGGTGTGGACAATTTGTTAGGGGGTGTGGATTGCCCAGATCTATTTTCCACCAACAATAAGACTTTGACAGTGAGCGTGCAGATGGGCAACAAATCTTTTACAGTAATGCTCCTGTACAGCTGGTATAAGAAAGCTCCTGTGGACATGGCCAGAAAGACAATGAGAAATGTCACACTGAATATCCTTATGCTTTGTGCAGTATAGTTCATCTTTCTTGACTTTGGGCATGTAACTTTTTCCATGCTTTTTTGTGTGGAACTGAATTAGTTGTTCCTACCTAATTAAGGCAGAAAAAGACCATTCCCCCCACCAAAAAAAACCCAAAACAACCAGGGTCATAAAACATTTCAATGGCATAAAACAAAGACTGTTTCTGCTTTCCTGATCATCCATTGTACAGTTTTTATTAAAATGAATGTCATTAAAAATTCAAAATATCTGCATGGAAAATCCTGTGAAAAGCTACACCTGTTGTAAAGACAAATCCCCGAACCCCTGAGCCCAATAAGGTTGCTATAAGTGTTGCTCATATAGTATGCGTATTCCCCTCTCTAGTTAATTTGCTTGTGAAATTTTATTATTGGAGTTAAAGCTGATATAATACTATGTTACTAAAGAAAGCGGATCTATTACATTCTGATTTCACCCAAGCACGAACTACTGATACCATCTGATTTCACGAGAGCCGACTTTAAATGTAAGAAAGCATACGTGTGTATTTAACAATTCATTTCACGTTTGTGTGAATTATTTATATTTCTTTCTGATAAACATTTGCTATAGTATGTATTACAGTATCTACAGTATGCATTTCAGACCAGGTTTCTCAGTGATCTATCCCTTTAAATCCAGATCATTAATAGTGATAGCAAATGTTATTCATATAAATCTTTTATAATGCAACTATGGTTGTGTATGTGAACTAAGTCTTGATATTAATTCATGTAATATTACAAATACATAGTGAATTAGTCTATTCCAAGCAACGACATATACATATGAGTGTCATTTAAAACATTATTTCCATCAGTGGAACATAGTGGAGTTGTTTCATGTCCTACACAAATCTATAAAGCTATCTAAACACATAAAAAGCAGAGTTAAGTGAAAGATGTTCAAGGCACTTAGAATAATATGTGAAGTGAATTTACAGAAGAAAAAAAAAACATTAACAAAACTCCATACACATTACTCACATATTAAACACATTAGATCCACTTGGGAATCAAGACAGATTCAGTGATTGAAAAGGCACATTTCTGTCTCTAACAAATGAAGTAATAAAAAACATATCTTGGCAAACATTATGGGTTGCCATTCATCCATAAAGTGCATCACATGACCGTTTTCCAGGTCTAGTTTGAGACGAAACATTAGCTGTGGTTATTATACACTCCATTACTCATTATGAAAGAGTTTAACAGCTGGTCAGCACACACTAGCACATGTGAAACCCCTGCCTCCATAGTCGTATTTGGGTTTAAAAATATGGCTTTTGGGGATGATGTGTAGGCCTGGTAACAGTCTTGAAGGTGATACAGAACTGGCTAGGCTGAATATATCAGTCACTTATGTCAATAAATTCTTCCTGAAATGCATGATGGTTCTGACTATTTTTTCAATTCCTTGATATATTAAAACCAAGGTTGTGTTGTTAATATGAAACAGGTCCTCCTCTAAAGATTCTCATGTCCCTCTGCTCTTTCAACTGTGGCTCATTAGTCTCTCAGGTCAGTGAGAGGTCTGAGATATCTGGCTCTAAAATGTTTGCTCCCACCCCATACCATAGAGTTACTCACGATGCTACCACCCAGATGTTGCTGTCAGCAGGGATTATTGTTTAATTGATGGTGGTTCCAGTGAAACATTTAGAAAATTAGGTCTCTGGATTATCCCACATAACCGTAACATTTTTATGGAAGGACAAGGTGCTGTTGAGTTTTTCAAACATAATTTGAGCACAAGCTAAATTACTTCTGCCTAAATTGTATCAAGAAGCAGAAACCTTAGAAATGTGTCTCTTAACAGAAGTCCAGGCCCCGTCTACACTCTATTAACAGGCGAGGCGCCATAAGAGGTGGAGTGTTGTGTTGTAAATATTTATGAACTTGAATTTAATTGGCATAATCAATGCCTTGAAGAAAACTGATACGTGTGTGCATAAGAGCAAAGTGACAGGGGAAAACAACCACAGGCCACATTCCCATGGTTCTCTTTTGCTACAGTATGATACAGATTTTAACTGTCTCTTGCAGGACTTGGTTTACCACAAATCATGCATGGCACTAAAACATGAGGGAATGTAGGCTTTTAGATGCAAAATAAGTTTGAGTGCAAGTGAATAGACAATGAAGACTCAAGTAATGTCTGTCTACAGCCTCAATGAGAGACAGTGGCAGTACAAAGCAATGACATGGTGGAAGTAACTGCAAAGAGAAAATCAACAATCCTCTGCGATACCCACCTGACCAATGCGCATCCTGTAACATTTCATTTATCCAGACCTTTTTCTTATTTCTATAGCCACATGGGGGTGTTGTTTCTCTGTCTTGCGAATGGGCCTTTTGTCACAAGTAAGGAGCCATAAGGCAAAGCACGTCTGCAGAAACTGGTGAGACGATGGTTCAGGTTTTCTGTGGATTGTCACAATTGTGAAAATCATCAAACCACCCAGGTGGTGTGAGTCTTCAAGTTGTCTTATTTTTTGGTCAAGAAGCCAAACTTTGGCTTTGTGACTGCAGGATCAAATTGATCCAATCTGGCAGCCACGTTACGAGGTGCAAAAGTGAAAAATCCCCACACAGTTAAAGTAAGATCATCTTGGTCTGAGGTCTTAACAAGTATAACCATGTAATTCCAGATACAGTCCTTATAGGAAGTTGTAGATGATCTTCAGTTCTTTGTAGGTGCCAGATAAAATAGCCATTTTAAATGGGGAAATATAAGTGAAACAGGCTGCTGCAGTGTTAAACTGTTCCCTTTTAACCCAATACATAGATCTTGAGTTAAAGGCTGTCAGATCCAACTCCACGACTGGAAGGTGAAACAGCAGCTACAATCTGTGAGGGGTGAAGGGGTTTGTGATGGGAGAGAGAGAGGTTAAGGTAAAATATTGGACAAAAATAAACAAAAGAAGGGTATGGAGGAACACTCAAACATGAGGAAGATGGAGTGGACTAGTAGGGGAGGAGATGGAGGAAAAATGTGAAGAGGAGGACCAGTCTTTGACATTAGTGTTCCAGCTTCTGGTGGTAAAGCTGAGTGACCTGGATGACCGGAGGAGAGGCGCTGAGCGATGGCCCACACCAACAGGCAGAGGATCGCACCGGCTGGACCTCACACCTGCCACTAGAGAGAGGGAGGTCGAAGCAGAAGAAATACATTTGGCATCTGACGCATTCAACACAAATTAAATGCAATGTGAGAAGACAACATGAAGCCAGACAGACTGACAGGACCCAAGACGATATGTACAGTAGAGGAGAGATGCTAACATGGGCCAACTTGAGAGCCATCCTTGTGGGAGGAGACAGATACTGTACGGCAACCAGAAAGTTATAGGTACAGGTCCACAGAAAACACAGCAGGAAGACAGGCTCTACCTCTGACCCTCTTCCATCTGGCAGTGCATGACAGACAATGGATTAGCACTAGTCTACATCCCCAAAATATACCACGCACATACAATATATTCCATGGAGTGCGAGGAAAACACACAACTTGTGACTAGCTGAGATCCAAATCTTGGTTGGAAGAAGCTGGATAACAAAAAACCTTTCCTTGCCTGTCAAGACACCAGATGGGAGAGAGGAAGGAGGACGACCTGAAATCCAACAACTTACAATGCCCACATAGTGAGCACACATCACCATGTGAAAGAGAGGCACTAGCAGCATGTGTTAGTCACATATGATGCAGGGGAGCAGTGTGGCACAGCCAAAAGGTTCACCGAGCACAGAACATTGCAGTACAATGAACGGCTGGGGACAAGTCATTTTCAGGTTAATCAATCCAAAAGGTGGATGTGGGCGCTTGAGTGTAGGGTTGTGATTTAACAAGAATCTGGCGATACCATACGTATCACAATACAGAGATTAAGATTTGATATATTGCCATTTAAATAAAATTCTAACCAGAACAGTGGGATCTGCATTTGTATTTATCACAGTCCCTGTAACATCCAACACCAGCACTGCTATCTAGCAGGTGGGGGTATAAACACAAACATCAATGCTATTTTTGAGAATTGATACAATATCACAAAACAATACATCGCAAAATTATATTTTCCAATATTTTCTTACAGCTGTACTTGAGTGTTCATTATTTGGAAAGGTGGTGTGACAGCTAGCTATTGAAATGTTGTTCTTATAAGAATAACAAGAACTCTCAAGCTTGGAGTCTGGAGTTTAAACACCCTTCTTTTAAGGTTTGTGTCCATAAGGCCACCGGAGTTTAAGGGGATGGGAAGGGACTTCCTAAATTAGATGCACTGAAAGTGAACTGACCCCATCCTTGATAAACATCCTGTCTGCAAGCAATTAAAAGATAGGTTTGAATTTTTTCCAAGTAAATCTTAATACAATATCCACATGTCATACATACAGCCAGTATGGACAGAAGGAACAATTACAGCATCAATTAACTGCACATATGGCTTGAGAGTATTGTATTAAGACAGACATAAACACAATACGAACCTATTTTTTAACACCTTGATAGCACAAAACAAGACACCTCCATTATAGTACAGTAGTTAATGGTGGGATGCATGTTACTGAGAAGAAGAGGAAGAAAAGACAGTATGCCATAGGGTTAGCCTGCTGAGCTGGTATGTGAAGTACCTCACACGTTATGGGGTGCTTTTTTCAGATTGGGGCGGCACTGCTGTGAAATGTGAGGGCAAAAAAACACAAGAAGGGAAAACCTTTAAAATAATTATTTAAAAAGGTGAAATCAGAGACTGATGAGCTCAAGTCTAAAAGTATGACACACATTTGGCTTGAAATTCACTGAAGGAAACTTTGTGTTATTAATTTCTTGAGAATATGTCCATCCAATGTCCAATGATTGTTGGAAATGGTGGAAATGAACACTGATATCTGGGACTCATGTGGAGATAAATGGGTAATAAAAAAACAAAACAATATATAGCAACTTTTATAATGTCTGCAGTAATTGGGAGGATGTTCTGATAAGAGAAGCTAATAAGTTGGTTTGACAAACAAGTGAAAGCAGCACAGAAAATTAGGCTGATGGTGAGGATTGATGAATCAAAGGAAATGTGATTAGTTAAGTCTTGTGCCTGTTCGAGATCAATACTTCCTCCTGTGTAAGTTGATTAGGTAGTGGAGGCAGAGGCAGGAAAACCCCTCACTATTTCCTATCAACCTAGCTCGCTACGGTAGACAGTCAATTAGCCATAGTCTCAACAGAAGAGAGAACCAGGCCTTCATTTCCTCCTGCTTTACATTTGTACATGTGATCATGTATTAGTAAAATCCTCCAGGTCTGCTCCTATTTGACATGTTGCTGTTGAAGTTAACTGAACACATCCTCCATCTGTTTCACATTAAGGGCCTGCAGAGGTTATAGGGGAATAAGCACTTTACTTCACTGACAGGCTTAACTGGAAAAAAAAAAAAGCAGCTAACACCAAGAAAAACAAGTGCACAAGAGGAATTCATCAAAAAATACTTTGCTGCTTGTAGAACAACGATCGTGCTGATGACTATGTTAATGTACTGATAACATTAATGCTGGAAAAGTGCATTGTGCTGAATTTACAATCAGCATACTCACTTTAGTTGTGGAACATGTGTAAAATGGAAGAAAAACATGTCGCGGTTACTGAAACGTGAGCCTTTATGTGGCCTTTGAAGACAGCTGCATTGATCAGAATAGAAGTGTATGTGTTCTGTCATACGAGTGCGAGACGGATGACCAAAAAAAAGGGCTGAAACTTCTATGTACACAGCCTGTTAACCTGACAGAAGGAAGCTAAGGTCTCAGCGCACGAATGCTCCTTAAGATGATTCATGTGCAGCATTCCACGTTCACCACCTTATCCTCGACTAGAAATTAATTTTGGATTCCGTTTTCAAGGGAAAACAAAGCTCTGTGTGGTAAAAGCGGGATTGGTGTCGTGAGGTTAAATACTTAATTCTTACTCTTTTGATTAATCATGTGGCTGTCTGAGTTGAGTTTGTATGTGTGGTGTTTACGCCGACATCTCATTCACTACCGTGTCTGTGTGTGTGTTTTTTACCCAGTGTCGTCAGGCATGTCCTGATCAGCCTCTGCAGCAGACGACTCCACATCTGCATCTGCACTGCTCTCACTGCCCTGAGCTGACAGATCACACAGAGACTCAGGGCTCACACACTCACCACTGGGACAGACAGATGGTCAGGCAGACACACACAGACACACAGACATGCAGCCATTGTTAGATTAGATAGATGTTTGCAGCCATCCAGGCTTCAAGAAGGCCAGTGGAGACTGTTGAACAAAGCATTCAAGAATAATAAACTGTGAACTAGAGCCCTGCATTCCTGCCTAGTCCAGGTGAATTTCTGACAATTACAGCCCGTTCTGGTTATTTGTTTTCTCCTGTCCCACAGGTGAACGGGCATTATTTTACTGTCTGTAAAGTTCTCCAAATGTCAGCTTTACTGTTGTTTTGTAAAAACCTGCTTTTAACTTCTTTTCAATTTCATTTGTTGACTTAAATTTTTCTCCATCCTTCAGATGGAAATCCTAACACTGTGTGTAACCCTTAAATCCATATCTTTTATAGTGTATGTGTGAGTGTGTTTGTGCATGTGCACCTGTCAACTGACTTGATATGCTTCTCCAGTCGCAGAATGGCCTGCTCCTTCTCTTCAAGCCTCCTCTTCAGGGAAGCAATCTCCTTCTGCTTCTCTAGCAGTTCCTTCTGGAGACGATAGTTGCTCTCCTCCAGAGTCTCACAGAACGCCTGGAGGGAGGCGGCATCGGAGAAAAGAAGAACAGAAATATATCTATTTATCTATTTAGAGGAAACTAAATGTGGAAGGCAAACGGTGACAAGCAACAGTGGAGAAGTCAGGGATAACATGTTTGGATGGAGGAACAAGTAGGAGTAGTAGGAGTTTCAACAAGTAAAGCTAAAGACAGATCATATATTAATCTAAAGTCACATGTTCGATCTATAATTAAACAGTTTTAAACAGACAGGTTCGAGATGTCAGCCTGAAACATTTTCCAGGTCAAGTAGATTGTTTTATGAGGGCCTCATAGGGTACAAGTGGAACTGACATGTTTAAGTGCCTGCTGTAATGAGAGTGACTCCCTGCCCTCGCCACCAAATGCCATCAAGCTACTTCATGTCCCTGCAAAATGTAGGACTGGGTATCATTTTAAATGATTAAATACAGTGGCCTTATGGAGGTTTGGTAGTAACTTTAATACTGTTGTATATTGCTGAGCATAAACACTTTTAGAAAGCATGATTTAATAATAATTCAAGAACCACATCTAATATGCAACATCACACAGAGGAGCAGAGACATCAGCTTTAAACAATGAGAGAGAAATTATGATACCTCTCCATTCACAGAGCTTGCAACTTAAATGTATTTTTCCTGTTTTCGGGACTGTGTCTGGGTTTTTTTTATATCTGTAATCCTAGACAAGACTAGACTAGACTAGACTAGACTAAATTGAAAAAGTGTGGTAACTCAAACTTTTCCAATCCTGATGCAGCAGCCGCAGGGTTAAATATAAAATAAAGTAGTCTAAAGTCTACTACAATGACAAGAATCCTATTTAAAAGGCTTTGAAGTAACATGAATAGCAGCACAAAAACACAAACAGTACATGAGCACACACACACTCTCTCACGTTTATATGCACACTTACTCTGCTCTCCTCCAGACTATCAAAAGGCCCAGGTGGGTCATCCAGACACAGAAACTCTCTCACTGCCAGGCTGTCAAGGAGAACAAATGGTGTAACATAAATGTGTCTGTATGCAATCAATCATCACTGTGATCAATTATCAATTATCAGGTGACTACTCTGCAAAGCAAGTAGTTGCTACACAAAAACATGTTCAAAAAAATTTGAACATGAAAAACACACCATAACCATTTCACATACCAGTTGGCAATGTCCTTGTGTGCAACCAGGTTTTGCAAAAACGCCTGTAACCCCAACTGTCTGTCTTCCAGGAAGTCGGTGTCATAGTTGTCTTTGAACCACCGCTTAGGAGGCAGTGAGAGGCGGAAGCCTGGGAACATTTCTTTCAGCTACAACACACACACACACACACACACACACACACACACACACACACACACAGAGTAAAGAATAGATAGTAATAATAGATAATAGATAGAGTATTACATGATCTCTCCTTCAGCACATACAGTTGCAGTAAAACAATACTATTCAGTGTTAAAGACAATATGAGGTTACTGACATGCATGGACGTAACACAGACAAAAGTGGATAAGTTATTGACACATAAGTGTCTCCTAAAATCTGTACCCCTTAATAAATAACCACCTTGTAAGGGTGTCAAAAATAAACATTTTCACATTTGATAACAAATTTGATTTTAAGGTCAGTTTCTTTGCTTTTATTTTTTTCTGCATGTAAGAAATCATATATTTCAAATGACACGTAAAAAAAAAAAAAACAAGATTCTGTGTGTGAAAATGAGCTTTTAGTATTATATTAACAGGTAATGTAGTGTATGACAGTTTACTTAGGTGAAGTTCTTCCTAAAGTATGCATATGCATACAGGTACATTCATAGCGTTGCATGCAACAAACCACACTGTGCCGGCGCCACACTGCTGTCAATTAGAGCCTGAGAGATGCATATTTGCCAATATCGATATCAATATTTAAACGTTTCTTTCCCAGCCTCATTCTGAGACATGACTGATGGGAGGAAATGTGCTTGCTGCAAAACTGGATAACTTTTGAAATTTCACCCTGGTCTCCAGCATAGCTGCTCAGTGGGTAAGTGGAATGATTGACATTAAATCTGAACTGCGTAAGGCTTACAATATCCACAGAGCAGACGTTATTTGAGTATGACAGTGGAACATACGGAGCATACCAATGGACAGCACAGAGGTGGATTGTATTGCAGGGGTGGTGTTTTTACAGATGTTGTTAAACCTTTGCTAACATGGGTATGTGTGTGTGTGTGTATGTATGCATGCACACTTAGTTGTTTTAACACTTGGTAAGCCTGAGCAATGTGCAAAAACTGTGGAGCACTGTTGGCTGAGGTCCAAACTACTACACAAATAATATTTGGCGCCAGCCACCCAGTGTGGAGGCAGCGCTGCACTTTGAAAACCTGATAATGTGTTAACCATAATAGGTATCTGTTTGGTTTGTCTGTAAGGTTCATGGGCAGCAGGCAAGTCCTCTTAAATTACTGTTACTGTATTAATAATTACACATAAGAATATGATCCAAATGTTCATGCTGAAAAATGCACCTGATGTTGAAATGTTTCCAACCAGTTACATGTATGACCAATCAGGCCTGTACAATATTACATGCATGGAAACAGAACATCCAGCACAGCGTGGTTAGATTACAGCTGCCTCTGTACAAAAGCCACAAGAATGGAGGAAAGGATGTCCACACCCCCTCCTGTCCTCTCTCTCTCTGTGATGAATGTAGGGTGTTCCCATCTACTCCATTTCCACGCTTCTTGCCTGGGTTTACTCTGTCCACATTAGTAAATTGGAGTAATAGGTTTAATCAATATTTGCGGGCCTATAGAGATCATTTGCCTCTTTCTAACAATCACCTTTTTTGTTTCACATTTTTTTCCTCATACAATATCATCACATGGCTTTAGTTTCCCTTCTGTAATCTGTGACTACACTGTCTTTCCTGAAACCACGGGAGACCTTATCCCCTTGTTGGCACTGGCCTGTTGGCTATTTGGGAACAGAAGGCTTCTTTGTGTAGCTCTAATCACTTCCACAGTGCACTCAAAAACAAAAGAATGCATGCTCAAAGCAATACATTGATAGTCAAAAACACTGTCTGCATACATGGATGGACGATCGCAAAATAAAGCTACAAATAGGCCAGAGATCTGGGACTGCCCACAATTACCACAGAAAGTAGCATCTGCAAACATATGAACAGACACTCCCAAACACACCTTGTCGTTGAGCCTGGAGAAGTCTGTGTACCTTCTAAAAACAACCCAGCTCTCATCTGGAGTCTTCCTGACCAGGACCTTAAATACCTGCAGAGATAAGACAACACACACACACACATGCACGCACGCACGCACACACACACACACACACACACACACACACACAATCTTAAAGCCTTGTTTACAACTGCTGTAGAGCTGTTGCTTTTCACCAGGAGGATTTAACATGTGTCACAAGAAGTATCACACACAATTTACTGAAGTAAATGAGATTTAGAGCCACATTGTCTACTTTGCTGAGGTGATAGTAAGGAACTTCCCCCATACTCACACATTTTTTTAATACAATTTAATTATACCTGTCCTCCTCTTTTCTCAACACAGCACCCAACTGTACCCCAACCTTCAGCTCCTGTAATGGAGTGAAGACACCTCATGTGTTATTACTGGAAGTGCAGAACAATTTGTTTCTCCATTCTTCTGCTGTGTGTTGATTGATGTGTATCCCAATTATAAATATCTGTGTGATGAGTAAATGTTAAAATGAAACTTTTAACATCTAGTATGCATCATACTGTGTGTTTCTCTTAAGTGAGCATGTCTTTATCCTGCCAGTGAGCATGTGGTGGATATTTTACTTTGTAAAATAGATGTTCAGTCACTATAACGCAAGGAAAACAGGTTAGACAAAAAGGTTCACATGCTGCCAACATACATGTTAATACCGGCTAAATAATGTAGCATTTAGCACTTAACACGTGTGAACTGTGCCACATATACAGCGCTAGTTCCAAAAGGTTGTCATGGTGTCATATAAGATGATTTACTGGCTTCATACCGTGAACTTGGCCCTCTCCTCCATGACCTCATACCCCAGCACAGTGGGGGTAATAGGCCTCTCCTCGCCTTGCTGGTTGCCAACAGGGTCAGATATGGAGCGGGGGCAGCTGGAGTACTCTATGGAGGGCTCCAGAGTCCCATTCACCATGGCCCGTGCCACAGGGCTCTGGAGGGGTGGTGGTGTCCTGCTCCGGCCGCCTCTGTCCATGCGGCGGGATTGGTGCTGGGAACCTGACGCTCCACATCCTCTCCCATGGTCCTCCCCGGCCGCCCTGGGGATAGAGAAACAGGACGAGCTGCTGGAGACGCTGCCTAGCGATGAAGCTCGCTGTGGCCGTCTGAGCTTGCCGCTACCTCCTGACAAGGCTCTGTCCATGGGCACAGGGACAGGCACAAAGGGTGATGCCATCTTCCTGAGCTGTGTGCTCTTGCCCTGCCACCGCAGTAGTCAACAAGGTCCTTCACACCTACGCTGACCCGGCCTTGCTTCAGCGTAGCTGTGTGATGATGAAGAGAAGCAGTAATGCTCACCCTGAGGGGCTGAGGGAAGACTCTGAACACCCTGAAATGACAGGAATCATTTGGTATGTTCATTGTAGTATCATGGCCAAAACTCACTATGAGCTTTCCTAAATACAGACTGAAAAAATGGGATCTTCAGGATTAAAACTTACAATAATGGAGCAGAATCTGTCAGCGAACATTATCCTGAAATAAGGGTACCAGACTGCGAGGGCTGATGAATTATTGACACGAGCCACATGTCATTCATAATTTATGGATTAGTGCATTATGTGTAAAATTCATGACGGGTAAAAAGTCTGTAAAGATCTGTAGATAATTAGTGTGTCAGATCATCTTGTCAATTGATTAGCTTTCATCCATCTGTTCCAATTGAAGTCCGACCCAACCCTAGTGAATGATGTTTTCTTTCGAGATAAAGTAAGAGGAACTTGCATGTCGGTTTTCATAGAAGAGCCTCAAATCAATTTCTGTAGGAGGCTACCTGTCAAACGTGTTCACATTAATTCAGCATCAGTGGAGCCAACCCTGCACCTCCCTATGACTAGAAATGAAAACCCTAATAACAAGCTAGTGATACACGTTTTTAGGTGTAAAGACTAACATAGAAATGATGTAAATATAAGGAGTAAACAAAGTGACAAATCATTCATGCTGCTCACACGCCCTCGCACAGCTATTAATGCGCTTCGGAAACATCACTTATGAGCCTGGTCTGGAGCCAACATACCTAATATCCGCCTTCATTCTTTGAAGTCATGTTTTCTTACAGTGGCTAACGACGTGGCTTGTGTTTTGACAGGCGGAGTTAGCAAGCGAGCTAACCTGACAGCGATAAACGACGTCCTTTTACTGAACAGTACGAACTCCATTAACAAAATTGGCGAGTTAGTGTAACGTTGCACTGCTTTGCATCTCGGTTCAGGTACAACTGGGAGCCACAATGGCTACAACAGCTAACGTTAGGTAATAAATAGTAAATACTGTATAAGAAGTAATCACCGGGCATAACAGTTATAAAAACACTATTTCTGAGTCAGTCAAACAGCAGCAGCTAACGTTAGTTACAGTAGTTAACGCTGCTATTCACAAAGGTCCAAACAAAGTAGGTTAAAAACATTTTATTTAAAGAATAGCTGCTTATAATATTATATCCACGCCGAATCGTGAGGCATTTCTTAACAGTTCGTCAAGTGTCTTCTTTTATTTCCTTTCAGGCATTTTGCCAATAATATGTAAGGAAACGCTTAATCAACACATTTTTTGAACAGCGTTTGGCGTGTCCTCTGTCCCACTGAGCGACCCTGGGCTATAAGGCTATCACATTACCTTCACGTTAGCTAGTAAGCTAGGACGGGCAGCCTATGTGGACAAAGCTAACATGACGCATGATGACAATGACTTTCGCTTACCGTAGAAGGCCAGTATCTTTCCCCTTCAGAAAATAATGTTATTATACACATACAGCCTGATATCTGACTGCCCTGTTGCTATTTATCCACTGCACTACCTCCGTCCCTGTCCAAATCATGTTAGCTCGCTTGAATTCACTACCACGACAGCTGCAGTGCTTCGATGTGCCCAGGTGAGGGCGCTGTAACACACATAATACTGTGCCGCACTGTACTGTAGCCTACTGTAACTCAGCAGTAAAGAAGTAATGGGGGTTGCTGCTCAGCACAGCTTTCATATAAATTCATTATAGCCTCCTGAAAGGTATTTAAATCATATAATGTAAATTAGCCCTGTTATGTGAAGTAGCCTACCACTAATGATCCCTGGAACAAGCTGAATGAAACCCACTCATTAGTAAAGGATAGATATAAGTGTCCCTTGACAATGGTTACACTTGCAAAAGTATCTGGCATTAAGTCAGAGAAGTCTTTTAACTATCATTGGTCCTGTTTGACCCAACATTCAGCAAATCATCCATTTTCATCCCCACACTTTGGAGATTATTCCCTTTTTGCAAAAATCAAATTAATATTTCAACTCACTTCAAAATTAAGTTAAAGCATGAATTACGGAAATTAAAATATATTGTTGTCTAATGGCAACAAGCAGAGGAAGTGGTGAATCTCACACAACACAACAAACACAACCATTCTGACCATTCTAACCAAATGTGCAGTTTGGTTTTAGTGGTTAGCACACACTTAACCCCAGAACAGGAACTGAATGAACTAAAATCAGGCTTTGTGGTGCCTGGTTGCTATTAAACCCTGCAGAAAACTTTCACACCTCACACCCAAACCAAATACCAAAGCCAAATAGATGAGATGACCTTTATGGTGACAAAATGCAGGGACAACAACCACACAGTTTCTGCACGAGCATATAAAGAACTAAGCATTGAAATAAAAGCAGCTGTAGGCTTTATATTTTTAAATTCTTAACCTGACCCACAAGGCAATAGTGAACAAACATATACCAAAGGAACACATTTGAATAACTGTCTTTTCTTTGTCTCCCTGCATTGTTGGTCATATTGCATTTGAAAAAGAATCAAAAACAAAATGACCCATAGATATTTGTCACCGATGGCATATATATATATATATAAGCTCTGTTAAAACTATTGTGTTAAAAAATTTGAATAGATTGATACATTTCTTGATTCACATTGACCTTATTAATGTGATAATCACATCTGTATGCAGATGTTTGTTTTTTCAACCTTTTCTCTGTCAGTTTATTCTCTCCAGGGTTATGTGGGGTGTCTGTGATTAGTACATTTGTTTTACAAAGCACACCCATTGGCACAATACCCAAAGCATGACATGGGTGGGTGTGTCTTTCACTGAGGGATGTGATTTCAAGATACTTTCTCAAGCTGTGGCAAGACCTTCTTGAGCTTGGGTGCGTCAGTGTGAAAGTGTGACACAGGGGTGGCTCAAATAGAACACATTTTTCTTTAACTCAATCATTCTGGATCACTACTTGACTTGAAGAAGAGTTTCTGTCAGTAAGTAACTTACAGGATGTCCCTTATTGTTATTCTCTCTTCATTTTGATGATAAGAGTGAAAGATAGCAGGTTTCAGCGACAGGCTTCACATAGCTTACAGTTCTTGACTTATGGCCTTTCACCTGGTTTCCAAAGACAACTGCGGTTGAGTAGTGATGAGCAATGTCTGTGTGATTTTACTGAGTTTGGAGACTTTTCACTCTTTTTTTTGAGGATCTAAATCAATTTCAATTTATCAGTGAGTGAAAAAATGGGAATAATGGGGATTTGTATACACATGTCTGGGAAGGAATAGCGTTGTTGAAGGATCGGTTTCAGCAAGCTGCTTAAAATTTCAAAACTTAATATTGGATAAAGAGGCCAGAGACTTGGGTTTCTTTCAGCTTCACTGAGACACTCTGAGTCCCTGAGCATCCTCTTAACATGAATGCAGAAAAATAAATATTCTCTCCTCTACCTCCACTTGTGGCTGAAAAAGAAACGGATTCCTTCTAATTATAATTATTTTACAGCTATTTGTGTGTCACATAATCAGGTAATCTTGATTCATTATGGTAAATAATCCTCTATTATCCTCTTTTGGTTATAGACAAAATGGCAACATCAGTCCCTCTATCCAAGGCAAACACCACCTTCTGTCTGGATTTGTTCAAAAAGCTGAGCGATGACAACAAAACCGGGAATATCTTCTACTCTCCTTTTAGCATCTCTGCAGCCATGGCTATGGTGATGCTGGGGGCCAGAGGCAACACAGCCACACAGCTGTCAGAGGTACCAGTATACACACACACACACACACACACACACACACACACACACACACACACACACACACACACACACACAGTGAAAATGAACAGTACAAAAGTTACAGTTCTCATGTTAACACACCCATTTGGACCCAAGTGTTTATACAGTCATGCAGTCAAATGTCATGTCTAGTCACTGGATCTGGTTCATCGTGGTAGTGGAATCTCGCCACCATATTATTGCATCACAAGAGAAAAAGAAAGTGTTTCAGTGGAAAACTTTCACCTAACTGTCTGGCAGAGTGAGGCGTGGCAGAGACAGTGTCTGCACATGCAATAATTACAGGCTGTCTCCCAGCCCAGCGTCAGCAAAAATGATGGTGTTCTGTTCTATTCTGACTCGGATTATAAGAAGAAGGATAGTTTCATTCTTCTGTAAGAAGTAGACCACAAAAATGATCTGCACAGTAAATCAGCGGAGCAAAAAAAATGGGACCAATATGGGCCTGAGTGAGCTTCAGTGGTAGAAAGTATCTTAGTAAATTTAATCCTGTTTAAATGTATACATTTAACAGTATTGCACTTTTTTTTCCTATTTCATACCTACTCCACTCAGTTTCAGTGGCAAATATTGCGCTCTTTACTGCATTTAGTTGTAGCCGCAGTTACAAGTTAGGTACAACTTTATACATACAATAAACTCCTTAAATATGCATTTGTAACAACCCAACAGTATTAAAGAGTAATTAAGATGAACACTCCACCTCGACCCCCTACAATATTGCTTACATATTAATGCATCAGTAATAACAGTCAAACAGAATAATGTATAATGTATAATATAACCATGGCAGGGACCGTTTTATGCATGATGAGTACTTTTACTTTTGAGACTTAAAGTACATTTTGCTGTTAATGATCTGTTCTTCTTCTACTAGAATACATTTAACTTGTAATGGATTATTTAAGGAAACAATGTTTTTATACTGTCACTGGATGAAATGCAACAGTTGATAGAGTGCTCAGTTTGACCATCAGAGCTTTCAGACTTGACTTGGACTCTAGGTCAAAGACTTCATGCTGCTGCTTCATAATTTGAGCTGTTTCACTGCAAACCTGGCAACCTGGTTTGGATGAGTTGTGCCTTGTGTATTTTGTTGCTAAGTGTCAAGACATGGGATGTTGATGGCGCAACAATTGCCTTTCAGCCAGATGTGAAGCAGTTTCAATAGGTGTGGTAGTAAATATTTTAAAGTAGGCATTGACAGCCTTTCAGTGAAGATTTACTTGTAAGTGATTGTGACGTACAAATATCCTGCGAGTCATCAGCTGTGGTGAGGACAAGGTGTGTGTACATGCATGTTGCAATGCTTTAGTTCTGGTTAACCTGTGCGTCAGTCCCTGCCCCCCCCCCCACCACACACACACATGCAGACACATACACTAAAAATGTTAAACTTAAGAGTGATCCCGATGATAAGAGAAACTTCCATTTGCACCCCCAGGTCCTCTGCTTCACTGAGTCAGAGCAACCGAAGCAGACGGGATCACAGCCTTCGGTGATGCAGTCGCAGATGCAGACGCGGATGCAGATGCGGACGCAGATACAGCAGTCCAGCAGACTGCCACAGTATCTGCTTAAGGTGCTAACAAAGCTAAAATTAAAGGGGTGATTAATAAATTGGGCTTGGTGGTGTCATCTGGTGAGGAGACCTGAGATTTTGGTTCAAGAGTTTCACACATAATTTCCCACTGCTTTGCTCAGTGATTTTTACAGTATATTGGGTCTTTTAAAATGGAATTTGTAAATATGAAGTGTAGTGTGAAGTTTAAAACAACAAAAGATTTATGCAGCAGAAGGAAAATTCAACATAACGGTGGGTAATTGTGTGTATAAATGCTTTTTAAAAAGCTTCCCCATGTCTTATTTCATGTTAATATTAATGTTTGAAGGTTTCGGTTTGGTCTGTTTTTTCCTTTTTTCCTTATTCTTTTCAAAAGGTGCTGGGGGTCTCATAAGGAGAAATTAAACTTCTGAAAACTTCGATCGTGGGAGGTTTTGCCAAAAGTTGTTCTACTTACAGTAAATGATGAAAACAATGACACCAAAATCATCCATTCCATGCTGGCACATTAGCACAGAGAAATTAAGTAAAAAAAAAGAAGTACAGTTGCATTATCCAAAAAGAAAAAATGAAACAGAAATGAGATTTTTGGCCTAGAAGCATGATTCATTGAAACATAGATTTATTGATTAACTCTCTGTAACCAATGTTGGCTTTAAAGCTTCTAAAAGTTAAACATTTTCCACCTTGAAAATGGTTGCAACATTCAGCACAGACTATCTGCAAGTGTAGCACTAGGGTGAAGGATTATTTTGGTGTCTATTCTCATCATTTAACAGGTAAGATAACCGAAGCCCAACGATCCATATGCAAATAATACAACGCTGTGCTTTATCTGTCACTCGCTCAGTTTGTCTTTGTAACATGCAGGCCTTCTCTGGCTGTTTGCAGTGCCTGAAACCCCAGAACGGTCAAGAGGATGATGTTCATGCAAAGTTTGCCCAACTGCTGAGCAAGCTCAACAAAGAAGATGCTCCCTATGCCCTCAGTCTAGCCAACAGGCTGTATGGGGAGCAGTCCTACCAGTTTGTTGAGGTGTGTGCACGTGTGTGTGTGTGTGT